TGCAAATAGTGACAGTTCTTCCTTTCCAATTTAGATTCTGTTTGTTTCTTTTTCTTATCTGATTACTGTGGCTGGGACTTCCAAAACTGTGTTGAATAGAAGTGGTGACAGTGGGCATCCTTGTCTTCATCCTGATCTTAGAGGAAACACTTTCAATTTTTCACCATTGAGTATGATGTGGGCTTATCATATATGGCCTTTATTATGTCGAGGTATCTTCCCTCTATACCCACTTTATGGAGAGTTTTTGTCATAAATGTATGTTGAGTCTAGTCAAAAGCTTTTTCTGCATTGTTGAGATGAGCATACGGCCTTTATTCTTCAATCTGTTGATGTGCTGCAGCGTGCGGATTGCTTTGCCGATATTTAACCAGAACGAACTTTTTGGCCAACCCAATACATGTAATGTAATCAATCACATATGTGTGTTTAAATCTCATCTTAGTGTTTACTTCATAATTTTCAATTTACTTGGTGTCCCTTTTTACTCTCCTTCTTGGCCTTCTTTTAATCTGTAAAAATGTTTTATTATTCCAATTTTTTCTACTCTTAGCAGTTAGGTATAAATTTGTATTTTCTGGGCTGCATAACAAATTACCACAAACTTAGCACCTTAAAACAACCCATATTTACTATCTCACCGTTTCTGTGGGTCGGGCATCTAAGGGTGACCCACCTGATGCCCCTCAGGACCTCACAGGCTGCAGCTGAGGTGTCAGCTGGGTCTGTGGTCTCACTGGAGGCTTGAGTGGGGAAGACTCCACATCCAGGTTCATTTGGGTTGTTGGCAGTATCTGTCTCCTTGGAGCACTGAATCCTGGCTTCTCTCTGGCCATTGGCTGGAGGTGCTCTCCAGTCCTGGAGGCCGCCCACAGCTCCCCATAACATGGCCCCTCTGCAGCCAGCTCTCAACACAGCCATTTGCTTCTTTAAGGCCAGCAGGAGAGTCAGTCTGCTAAGATGGAATCTTCCACAATGTAACGTAACCATGGGAGTGACAGCCTATCACCTTTGCCTGATTAAGGCTACTTCACAGATTCTACCCACACTCAAGGAGAGGGCTCACACAGGCATAAGCCACAGGGCATCATCTTAGCGTGTGTCTGCCACAACGTTCTCTTACTAATCTTTAGTAGTTGCCCTAGAGTTTACAATATATCTTCGAATTCTCAAGTCTACTATAACACTCTACTTTTCTGACAATGCAAGAATCTTAGCCCTTTTAACTACACTTACCCTCTTCCAAAACATATGCTATTATTTTGTGTGTGTTTTAGCTGTTATATATCTGTGATGTTGGTGCTACTGTTTTGCACAACTCTTTTTTTTTTTTTTTGCGGTACGCGGGCCTCTCACTGTTGTGGCCTCTCCTGTTGTGGAGCACAGGCTCCGGACATGCAGGCTCAGCGGCCATGGCTCAGAGGCCTAGCTGCTCCACAGCATGTGGGATCTTCCCGGACCGGGGCGCGAACCTGTGTCCCCTGCATCGGCAGGCAGACTCTCAACCACTGCGCCACCAGGGAAGCCCTTGCACAGCTCTTATGTGTATTCTTTCCAATGCACCCTCCCTACCTGCACCTCCATGTCCCATTTGGCTTTGTCTCTTCTGCCTTTTTTCTTTCTCTTTTGTCTTTCTCTTCATTGTTGGTCTGCTGCTACTGAACCCTCCTAAAGTTCTGTTTGTCCAAAGGTGTGTTTATTTTGCATTAAAAACTGTTTTTTTACCCCTTTGAAGGGGTAAAGAAGATTGTTCTCATTTCATTAGGTTTTGGCAATTATACTACGGTGTGCTCTGGTGTTTGTGTGCACTTGCTTGTTTTTGTACTCATCCTGCTTGGGATTCTTCATGCGTATCAAAGCTCTGACTTGATCTCTTGTTTGTTTTGAAAAATTCTCTTTGAACGCTGCTACCATCCTCTCCTTCCCTCATGCCTGCAACTCCCATGACATCAGCGTCAGACCTTTCCTTTTTTCTCTCTGTCTTTTTTTTTTTTTTTTTTTTTTTTTTTTTTTGTGATAAGTGGGCCTTTCACTGTTCTGGCCTCTCCTGTTGCGGAGCACAGGCTCCGGACGCACAGGCTCAATGGTGGCTCATGAACCTAGCCGCTCCGCGGCATGTGGGACCTTCCCGGACTGGGGCACGAACCCGTGTCCCCTGCATCAGCAGGCGGACTCTCAACCACTGCACTACCAGAGAAGCCCTGTCTCTCTGTCTTTAATCCGAATATTTTCATTTGTACTGTATTCCAGGTTACTAATTCTATTTCCAGCTATGTCTATTATGCTGTTAAACTTAGCCATTGAGCTCTCAATTTATGTTTTGTATTTTTACATTCTAGAATTTCCATTTGGTTCTTTATTATTGTTTCCCATTCTCTGCCCAAACTTTTCAGTCTTATCTTTTAATTCCTTGAATATATCACTCATAATTATTTTAAAGTCTATGTCCAAGAACTCCATCATTGGCTGCATCTGGGTCTGTTTTTATTGTTCATCATTTTTCTTGTTTTTCACTCATATCTTCGTTCCTCATTAGCCTGATATGTTTTGGTTGCTGTACATTGCCTATTAAAAATGTTGGACGTGTGCTAAAGTCCTGGACAATGACATCTTCCTCCAGAGGAGACTTATTTAGTGTCTGGTAGGCACCAAGGCTAGAGGCAACTCAGATTACCTTAATCTAGTCCGGGGGTTGAGTGATTTGAAGCTGAGGATTCCGTTCCCACGCGCATTGCTTTATTTCCCAAAGGATGGAGTTCTTCAGGATTCTTACTCAATAGAATTGCCAGATAAAATACAGGACACTCATTTAAATTTGAATTTCAGATAAACAATAAATCCTTTCTTACTGTATGTCCTCAGGGTTATGTTCTGTATTTTTATTAGCTAAACCTGGCAACCCTAAGCCCTTACCCGGTGCTCTGGAATACAGATTTTGTCCCCTTGTTGCTGAGACCTGCAGAAGCGCTGCTCACATTGTGCCCCTGCCCTCCCCCTGGTGCTGTGATTCTGGTGCTGGTGGCTGCTGCCAGGGGAAGCCTGTCTGCTGGTCTGGAGCCACTCCTGCACTCTCCTGCCCTGAGCTCACCTCCTTCGTCTTTGCAGTGCCTTCAGACACTTTTTACAGCATGTTCATTCTGTCCGTCTCTTCTGTTGCTGTCATTGGGAAGACTGGTCCGAACCTCCTTCACTGACATGGCAGAAGCAGAGCCACGTGCAGGAGCTTCTGGAGCTACTCTTTTCCCTTTGGAATTCTGTGAATACTGATTCATTGACTTCTACATTTGATGCTGCTATAAAAAGTCCTAGGAGAGGGACTTCCCTGGTGGTGCAGTTGTTAAGAATCCACCTGCCAATGCAGGGGACACAGGTTCCAGCCCTGGTCCAGGAAGATCCCACACGCCGCGGAGCAACTAAGCCTGTGCACCACAACTACTGAGCCTGCGCTCTAGAGCCCGTGAGCCACAACTACTGAGCCTGTGTGCCACAACTACTGAAGCCCGCATGCCTAGAGTCCGTGCTCCACAATAAGAGAAGCCACCACAATGAGAAGCCCGCGTGCCACAACAAAGAGTAGCCCCCACTCACCACAACTAGAGAAAGCCCGCGCGCAGGGAGGAAGACCCCACACAGCAAATAAATAAATAAATAAATAAATTTATTTATTTAAAAAAAATAGTAAGTCCTAGGAGAGCGTAGTTTGATTTCTTTTCTGCTTGGGTCCTCGAGTAACTTTATATATATATATAAAATATTTATTTATTTATTTGGCTGTGCCGGGTCTTAGCTGCAGCACGCGGGATCTTCATTGCTGCAAGTGAGATCTTCGTTTCTGCATGTGGGATCTTTTTTAGTTGTGGCAAGCAGCTTCTTAGTTGTGGCATGCCGGATATAGTCCCACGACCAGGGATCGAACCCGGGCCCCCTGCATTGGGAGCACGGAGTCTTAACTACTGGACCACCAGGGAAATCCCAATGACATTTTTATTTTTTTTAAGAGTCAGCAACCTTAAAAACAACCTGCCAGTTGTTTTGTTTCCTGGTATATTCTTTGTCCCTTTTGTCTTAAGATTCATTTCAGGAAAATTTTTTTGTATTTTATCTCTAAATACTTTCCCCATCACTAGTATCCGCATTCTAGAGACACTAATTATTGTCATCTTCTGTGTCTCCTCCTTCCGGTTTCCGCCCCCTTGCTAGCATTCACCGTGACCCTCCCAAACCCTTCTCTCCTGCCCCGAGCTCCACTCTGCACCACATCGGCTCTGTTTCCATCTGGTCCTGTGTGAGCTGTTGGTCTGCAGAGCTGACTGTTGTTTTCCGTTTGTCTTCTCTTCTGCGATGACTCTTTTACCTCCTCATTCTATTTTTCCCATCTTGTCTTTGATCCCTTGTTTTATTGGATTTCTGTTTTTATTAAGTTCCTCCCTAGCTTGCGGTGCTTTTGGAGAGCTGGCTTTTCTGCTTGTTTTCCTCCAGCGTCTTCTGAAAGCCGTGTCATCCCTTCCCTGTGGCATGTCCGCACCTTCTCACCTGCCAGTTCTTTCACAGTGAGCATGGCCCCTGGGTCTGGCTCTCCTCTGCTTGGAGTCTCAATTATGGAAACATAGGTTGAGCAGTTACTTTCAGGACTCACAGTGTTCTATTATTGGACTGTTGGAAAGCCCTGTGGGGTGTAGCTACCATCACCCCATTTTAGAGAAAGGGACACTGAGGCCCAGAGAGGCTAACTGGTCGCCTCATCACATGGGCAGAGAGTGGCAGGTGGGTGTGGACGTCTCTCCTAGGGCAGGCGTTCAGACCCTCCCTGTAGCCAAGGGCGCTGCTGGGGCGAGGCAGAGTGTGCCGCCAGCGGATCACAGCTCTCAGGGGCCTTGGGCTCCCTATTCTGAGTTCCAGTGGGCTTGTGGGTTGAGACACCCCCACTTCAGCCCAGCCGGTGGATTACTCTGGTTTAGTTGTGTTTGTGGATTTTAGAACATTTTTGATCCTTTCGTCAGGTCAGGAGGGAGTGCGCTTGCTCCGCTCGCCTTGTTAACCTGGAGCTCGGGCACACCTGGTGTTGGTCCTGCAGCCGCGTGGACCGCAGCGAGGAGCGGAGCACTGTGATCCGTAGCCCTCTCCCCACTAGCAGGGCCAACCGCGGCGGACCAAGCAGCCACCACCATCCAGTGAGCCTTCCGGAAGCTCCTGGCGAGAAAGGAGCAGGCCTGCCGTGAGCAGGACCACCAGGACTACCTGGAGCTGATGGAGAAGCTGCAGAGGCAGGTGAGGTCTACGGGGTTGGGTGTCGGAGTGGGGCATGACTGCAGGGCTGGAGGCGGGGACGCGGGGCTGGGGGCGAGGAAGGAGGGCTCGGGGCGGAAACTGCAGGGCTCGGGGGCGGGAACTGCAGGGCTTTGGGCGGGGACGCAGAGCTGGGGGTGGGAACGCAGGGCTAGGGCGGGGGGGGACGCAGCGCTGTGGGGGACTCAGGGCTGGGGGCGGGGAAGGAGGGCTCGGGGGCGGAAACTGCAGGTTTGGGGGCGGGGACGCAGGGCTGGGGGCGGGGACGCAGGGTTAGGGCGGGGGGACGCAGGGCTGTGGGGGACGCAGGGCTGGGGGCGGGGACGCAGGGCTGGGGGCGGGGACGCAGGGCTTGGGGGCGGAAACTGCAGGTTTGGGGGCGGGGACGCAGGGCTGGGGGCGGGGACGCAGGGTTAGGGCGGGGGCACGCAGGGCTGGCGGCGGGGAAGGAGGGCTCGGGGGCGGGAACTGCTGGGCTCCGCGGCCCGGACCCAGGGTTGGGGGCCCAGGGCTGGGGCGGTGACCGCACTGGGCCGCCCGCCGGCCTTCGTGGCCCTGTTGCGGCGGGAGCCAGAGGCGGCCCGGCGGCAGTGGGAAGAAGCGGCGGCGGCAGGAGGAGCGGCAGCGCGGGGCGCGCCTGTTGGAGGCGCGCCTGCTGGAGGCGGCCTTCGACGGGAACCTGGGTGAAATCCAGGCGGTCCTGCGGGAGGTGGGCGGCGGGGCGGCGGGGCGGCGGGGCGGCGGGCCCTGAGCTCGCGGCGTCGCTGACCGCCGCCCGGCGCAGGTGGACGCGCTGCTGAACCGCGAGGGCGTGAGCTGCGACGCGGCGCGGGCGGCGCGGCGGCTGCAGCGGCGCCTGGCCCTCGTGGACTTCGAGGACAGCGACGGCGGGCGGGCAGTCCCTGGCCATCCAGCTGCTAACCGAGCAGGGCGCCAGTCCTAACAGCAAGGTGGGCGCCGGGCGAGGACTGGGGGCCGCGCCTCGTCCGGGCGGGCCGTGCTCAGTGAGCGCGTCCAGCAGGGCGCCTTCGGCCGGACGCCGCTGTACCGAGCGGCCTTCGGGGGCCACCTGGAAGCCGTGGAGGTGCTTGTGAAGCTCGTAGCTGACCCCCGGGTGTATGCGGACGACGGACGCACCCCCGAGCAGGTGCGCGGGCGTGGGCAGAAGGCCCCGGTGCGCTTGCTCCCCCACCCGCAAAGCTGTCAGAAGCCTGGGGGCCCCGCCCCGGCTGGTCCCGAACCTTCCAGGACCCAGAGCCTTTGCAGGCCCTTCCCCTCCCAAAGTACTCGCTATGAGCCTTACCGGGCACACGCGATCAAGACCACAGCTCCCGGTTTCTTGGGGCCTCCTGTGGCCGGGGTTCTACTCACGTCCCTGGGCCCTCAGCCCACCTTGGAAGCAGTGTTACCATGGGAGGTGGAGAAACAGACTGGCTCCTCGGGAGCCAGCGCGGGAGCTCTGGGGCACTGAGGGCAGCGCTAGGACCGCCCACCTGGCCCCTCACTCAGAATTTCCACGTCTCTGAGAAAATTGAGCTCTAGGGCTTGGAGCCATGACCCTGCCCAAGGCAGCTCAGCCTGGCAGCTCCTTCGTGGCCCGGGAACGATGTCAAGGGGCCTTTTCACAGGCCCTGGGCCAGGCTGGGGACACGGGCGCCTGGACTTCTCCCCGGCCCAGGAGGCCAGGTCAGATGAGGCTGACCCAGGGCCTGTGGGAGCAGCCGTGAAGCCAGATCACCTAATGCCACGGCCTTAATTTCTTCAAATGAGTCTGACTGGAATCTCAGGCCCTCGCCCATCTCAGCCGTGTGTCCTTCCACCCCAGTCTGTAGAGCTGAGGTGTTGGCTGGAAAATGTGGGACTGGCCCGGGTCTGCTGCTGAGCCCCTGCTTCCACCCGTGGGGTGCCAGGGCCTTTGCCGCCTGGGGACCCCGTGTCCTGGGCGCCACCTTCACCCCCAGCTGCCTCCTCAGGGTGCTGCTCCAGGCTCCCCCTTGTCCTGGAAGGCATCCCCTCTGCTCTTCTTGGCTTCTCCTTTTTAATAAGCAACAAGCCAAGCTTGAAAAGACCAGCAGAACCTCTGGCTTCAAACTCCTCCTGCTTCCTCCTCAAAGGAGCAAAATGTGAGGCTAGGAGGACCGAAGGGCCTGGCCATGGCCTCAGAGGGGCTGGAGCGAGGAGGGGCACAGGGAGGCCCACCTCTCCGCGGGCCGTGTTGGGGCAGGCCCGGGCGGTGGGCACAGGGCATGAAGGCTGGAGAAGCATGCAGGCGGCCTTCTGAGGGGTGCTGAGGAGGATGTCCAGCCCGCCGGTGCCTGAGGGTGGGGCAGGGGGCACTGAGACGAGCAGTACCCTGGTGGGAGGGGGGAGGCCACTGGCTGCAGGAGGGACAGTCTGGTGCTGGAGCAATTGGACGTCCACAAGCGAAGGAATGAACCTTCACCTAAACCTCACCCTATATAAAATGAACTCAAAATGGATTAGTATTTAAATGTAAACTGTAAAACCTTTAGAAGAACACAGGAGAAAATCTTTGGGACCTATGGCTTGGTAAAGGGTTCTTAGACAAAAAGCACAATCAATCGATAAAAGAAAAAAAAAAACCAACAAATTGAACTTCCTAAAAATGTAAAAATTTTGCTCTGCTGAAGCCCCTGTTAACAGGATGAAAAGACAAGCCACAGAGAGGGAGAAAATCCTTGCAGACCACATATCTGACAGAGGACCCATATTTGTAACATACAAACAACTCTCAAAGCTCAATGGTGGGCTTCACTGGTGGCGCAGTGGTTGAGAGTCCGCCTGCCGATGCAGGGGACACGGGTTCGTGCCCCGGTCCAGGAAGATCCCACATGCCACGGAGCGGCTGGGCCCGTGAGCCATGGCCGCTGAGCCTGCGCGTCCGGAGCCTGTGCTCCGCAACGGGAGAGGCCACAGCAGTGAGAGGCCCGCGTACCGCAAAAAAAAAACACAACACCTCAATGGTAAGTGGTACGATCCAGTTATAAAGTGAGCAAAGGGCATGGAGAGAAATTTCACTGAAGAGGATATAATGATGCCAATAAACACAAGCTGTCCAACTCCATCGCACCTGGAAGAAATGCTGAAACGGGAACCAGCGGGGGCACAGGGCGCAGAGAAGCCGGATCTCACCCAGTGCTCGTGGGAACGCAAAGGGGCTGAAACGGGAACCAGCGAGGGCACAGGGCGCAGAGAAGCCGGATCTCACCCAGTGCTCGTGGGAACGCAAAGGGGCTGAAACGGGAACCAGCGGGGGCACAGGGCGCAGAGAAGCCGGATCTCACCCAGTGCTCGTGGGGACGTAAAGGGGGCAGCTGCCCTGGAACACAGTGGGGCTGTGTCTTAAGAAACTGAACATACATTTCCCGTGGGACTCAGCACACGCTGCTGGGCATTCTATTCCAGTAAAATGAGGACTGTGTCCGCACACAAGTGTGCACGTGCATGTTCACGGCAGCTTTACTTGTAACGGCCCCAAACTGGACGCAACCTAGATGTTCTTCAGTAGGTGAAAGGTTAAGCCAACTCAGGCCAGTCCACACCTCAGAACACTCCTCAGCTGTGAGAAGGAAGGAACTAGTGATAGAGCAACACCTGCACGGTCTCAAGGGCCTTTTGCCAAGTGAAAAAAGAGTGCATCTCACAGGGTTACATACTGTCATTCCATTCACATAACATTTTCAAAATGACGAAATTATGGAGACGGAGGCCGGATCAGTGCTTTGCGGGGTGGGAATAGGGGCAGGGAAGGAAAGGGGAGAGAGGTGATGTGACTAGAAGTGGTGACACAGAGGAGCGTTGTGGTGATGGGACAGGTCGCATCCTGACTGGTGGTGGGTACACAAATCTACACGTATGATAAAACTGCATGTAACTGTAGACGTACAAAGGGATACACGTGAAACTGTTGAAACAAAGTAGGTGGGGTCTGTGGATTGTACTGTGTCCATATCCTGCTTTGTATCTTGCACTATAGTTGTATAAGATACCATCACTGGGGAAAACTTGTTAAGGGTACATGCAAATTCCTGTAAGTCTGTAATTGTTTGCAAATAAAAGTTTAATAGAATTACCAGATGCAAGGAAACAGGAAAATATAACCCATAGTGAAGAGCAAAATCAATCAACGCTGACTCAGAAATGACGCAGCATAAGTGGACAAGGGCATTAAACTTACAGCTGTATCTCACACAGCACACCTCCACATCCATCTGTCTCTATTTTTATGTACATACTCCTAAACTTCTGAAAACTGCAATGTTGGAGGTGAAAAACACACTGGATGTGATTAATGGTTGATTAGACATTGAAAGAAAAATTAGTTATTTAGAAGACATAGAAATTACCCAAAATGAAACACAGAAAGAAGGTGGAAAAAAAATGAACAGAGATTTCTGCTTCTAGGATGGAGTAAATGCAACCTGATTTATCCTTCCACCTGAAATACGACAAGGAAGCCCAGACAGAAAATATGAAACAATGGTTTTCAAGACACTGGGCATCAGGGAATAATCGGTGATCCCCAAGAGGCTGGAAATAAACTACGTGAGCTCTTTGATTGCCCAGCTAACCACCTTGAGAGCACTTCCAGGCTGTGGTGCAGGAGCGGGGTATCCAGGCAGAGCCTGGTCAATTCCCTGAGTTAAGGAGACAGGGTTCAGAGTCCAGGGATTCCAAGGCAGTCAGACTGCAAGGGCCAGAGAGAAGAGAGCTGCAAAGGGAAACAGCGTTTCAGAAATAACGCCATTTGCAGCAATACGGATGCAACTAGAGATTGTCACACCGAGTGAAGTAAGTCAGACAGAGAAAGACAAATATATGATGTCGCTTATATGTGGAATCTAAAACAATAGTACAAATGAACTTATTTACAAAACAGAAATAGAGTCACAGATGTATACAACAAACTTACGGTTACCAGCGGGGAAATGGGGGGAGGGATAAAGTGGGAGATTGGGATGGACATATACACATTACTATATATAAAATAGATAAATAATAAGGACCTCCCGTATAGCACAGGGAACTCTACTCAATACTCTGTAATGGACTATATGGAAAAAATATCTAGAAGAGTGGTTATATGTATAACTGATGTACTTTGCTATACACCTGAAACTAACACAACATTGTAAATCAACTATACTTCAATAAAATGAAATAAAATAAAAAGATAAAGAGCATTCCAGAGGTGTGTAGGGACCCCTTTGGGGATTCAGGTGAGTACTCAATGGCTCATGTGTGTGACGGAATGTCTCAAGGTTGGGGACAGAGCCATCTGTCAGGAGGGAAGGAAGCAGTGCCTAGCCTTTTCCCACCAGCCCAAGCAGGAGACCTCACAATCCATGTGGCACTGGGTAGGGCACTTAGAAGGATCTTGCCTCAGAGGAATAATTAGTCCTAGAGTAAATGCCGCTCTGGTACAGCCTCACCAATCTTAAAGCAAGACCCAAAGGATAAAACTTTCCAAGTAATATAACTGTATCCCAAAACAAATTTCAAGAATACATATAGAGATACAAAATATACAGCTCCTAACAAGGCAAAATGTACACTGTCTGGCATCCAGTTAAATATTACCAGACATACAAAGATGCATAGAGATATGACCATAATGAGAAGCTCAACTGATCAAACAAACCCAGAACGGATGGGGATATTAGAATTAGCATAAAAGACATTTAAACAGCTGTTATAACTATATTCCAGATGCTTGAAAAATTGAATAGAGACACGGAAGGTATAACAAACAAATTCTAGAGGTAAAAATGACAGTGTCTGAGATGAAAAACAAACAAAAATCTATGGATGGGATTAATGTCAGATTAGACACAACAGAGGTAAAGATTAGTGAATTTGAAGGCTTAACAATAGAAACTACTCCAAATAAAACCACACAGAGAAAAAGGAATTCCTCCAAACGAAAAGAGGATCAACGAGCTGTGGGACAGTTTCAAGAGGCCTCATATATATGTAATTGGAGTCTCCAAAGGAGAGAAGAAAGAAAGGACGGAATTCCCTGGTGGTGCTGTGGTTAAGAATCTGCCTGCCAATGCAGGGGATATGGGTTTGAGCTCTGGTCCGAGAAGATCCCACATGCCATGGAACAACCAAGCCTGTGCGCCACAACTACTGAGCCTGTGCCCTAGAGCCCGTGAACCACAACTACTGAGCCCGTGCACCACAACTCCTGAAGCCTGTGCGCATAGAGCCTGTGCTCCGCAGCAAAAGCCACCGCAATGAGAAGCCTGCGCACCACAACGAAGACCCGATGCAGCTGAAAATAAATAAATTTATTTTTAAAAAAAAGGAAACAGAAAAAAATATATATATTTGAAGAAATAATAACCTTAAGGTTTCCAAATTTGATGAAAAGTATAAACCACATTCCTAAAACTCAACAAACACCAAATTTCAACAAGAAGCAGGAAGGAAAATCAGGCTAAAGCACAATTTGATAAAATTTCTCCGAGCCAGTGATAAAGAGAAAATCATAAGAGCAGCCAGAGGAAAAAAAGACATGTTACAGACAGAAGAACAAAGATAAGGACTATGGCAGATTTCCTGCTGGAAACAATGCAAGGGAGGAGACCGTGGAGAGCATCTTTAACGGTACTGAAGGGGGAAAAAAATCTTGTCAACCTTGAGTTCTATACCCAGTGCATATATCATTCATAACTGAAGGCAAAATAAAGACATACCTTTCCAGACATACAAAAGCTGAAAGAATCAATCACCAGCAGACTCACACTATGAGAAATGTTAATGGAAGCCCTACCAATAGAAGGGAAGGGATGCCAGCTGTGAATATGGATCCACTCAAAGACGTGAGGACCACTAGAAAGGGTAACTACCTAGGTAAGTGTACGAGATAGGGCCTTAGTACTTAAATTTATTGAAAAGGTAATTGAAGAAACAAAAATAATGGCAATATGTCATGGGACTTTATAACATATGTAGATACACATACTAAAAACTGTACAAATTATAGTTGTTTGGCTCAAATGTGTGACAAAAATAAAGGTTGGCAGGGGGAAATGGAAATATACTGTGGAAGGTTCTTATACTATATGTGAAGTGGTACAGTATCATCTGAAAGTAGATTGTAATAAGTTGTAGGTGTATATATGCTGTAAACCCTGAAGTAAGCACTAAATATCAAGTTATAGTTAATAAGATAATAAAGGAGATACAATGGAATTCTAAAAAATATGCAATCAGAAAGGAGGCAAAAAAAGAAGAAAAGGAAAATAAAGAACAGGGACTTCCCTGGTGGTCCAGTGGTTAAGATTCCACGCTCCCAGTGCAGGGGGCCCCAGTTTGATCCGTGGTCAGGGAACTAGATCCTGCATGCCACAGCTAAGAGATCCCACATACCACAACTAAAGATCCTGCATGCTACAACTAAAGATTCCACATGCTGCAACTAAAGATCCTGCATGCCACAACAGAGATCCCGGACGTGGCAAAGAAGATCCCACGTGCTGCAACTAAGACCCGGCACCGCCCAATAAATAAATAAATAAAAGAACAGATGGAACCAGTAGAAAACAATAGCAAAGGGTAATTTTTAA